CTGATGAAACGAAATCGTGAAGTGTAACGTTAATCAATCTTCGCGGTTGATAAGATGAATTGCACCGAGGGAACAGGCCTGGATAGGACGATTAATTAGAGACCGTAATACCTGCTGGGATAGGATCTATAGATGTGCACACGTGTGTTTGTGACTGTCCTTCGAGGAAGACATTTGTCTGGGACAATCGGCAAATTAAGGAAATTTTAATTTAACAGGGGGTGCATTAAAATTAATAAGTTTTTATTTTGATGACGACTTCGATAATCGATTTAATAATGCAGTACTTAATCGAGTAGGTCAATGTCGATGATTCATTTTCTTCGTCATTCGTCACTGTTTTCCTCCCCTACTGTTCGAAGCGCGGAAACGCGTGTATCCAGGGGACAAAACAGGCCGGCCACGTGGTAGAATTCTGGTTCAACGTGTTTCGCGAGCCATCGATTTGTCTCGTCATCGTTTACCAGGAACAGATTCGATGATGGATCATCTTCCTCTGGATAGATTGATCGCGGTTGCTCGAACGACAAATTTTATTTATTCCCCGGTTATACAGAGCGTCACAGAAATTATTTGCACCCTTAAAAATTACTAAGTATCTCAAAGGAGACACGGTGTACGGAACGAAAATTGATTAAGCGGAGGTTAAATCTGTCAGAGATACAGAGATTAATACATATTCAACGGTACGCGTTTTCGCACGCTTCAAATCGCGATGTCGGAATAATATTAGCGAGCGTTCATGTTCAAGAAGAAAATGTGCCAAGTTTCCCGTTTCGAATTCGGTTTCGCGAGCTTTAATCGACTCGTACACCGAGCAAAAGTTGCGAGCCGATTCAGGCAGCAGCGTGACGCCACTCGGGAAAGCTGAAAACTTATCGAATCGTCTGAACGCTTTACATTAAGCATCTGTAAATCCTGGAATTTCCTTAAAATTCCAAGTTTAAATGCGGCTCGTTCGAAACAATTTAAAAAAGAAATAAGTGAAAAATATGATAGAGGGTGGTAAATTGGAAGCACCCCAACGAATCTTGCCCGGCTTGATCACTATGTATAATGTACACCATAGAGGAGGGCGTGTAAAGGAAATCGATTAACAGGCCAATTTCGAAATTCATTAGCCGATCAAGCTTGAATCGCTGTGGAGTTGCTGCATGCCAACGAGCTGATTAATCGGGACTCGACTGGTGAACTTTCCACCCGCCGATGACACACCTGCACACAGATTAAAATCACCCTGGCTCCACCGCCATGGCAATTGAAAGTCGTCAACCATGTGGAAATTTTCCGTGGAATTGCAAGAAAATAGGAACCGACCAAACAATGGAGAATGTGCGATCGTTCCTCGAGACATTCTTCCCTTCTAGACTACGGAAAAACAATGGTACTCTTTCAATTCATACTTTCACCATTTACCTTGGGCCACAAATTTTCAACGCCCCTCATGGATTATTTCTTTGTTAAAGGGAATTTGCAAATGTTAAAATTTAAAATTGAAAAATAAGAAGGGTAGATTGCGCAGGATACGCGGGAGGGTTCAGAATGCGGACGAAATAGGAGAGTGTCGTTTTTCAGGTGTTGGTTTATTCATTTTAAGATTCGGCGCGGCTGGGATTTGTCAGCCGATTTTCTCAGGTAAAGTTTTCCACTCGTAACCTCTCGACAATCTGAAACACTTGATTTATAGCGTGGCCTCCCGAACAGATGACTTTTTAAAAGATTACTCAACGTCCTGCAGGACCTATCATTCACACTTTCATGGACGTTTCGCAATCAGAAGGTCCTACGATATTTCTTTCTTAATTTTTCATATTTTCGTCTACAACCACTTTACTAAAAAGCACAAAGCTTTTTTTCACTTTAAACTAACGAGTGCATTGTTGTGTCAAAGTGTCGAAGCAATTTGACGACGAAATTATCTACAATGTAGATATATATAGTTGAAAGATCGAAGGAGAAGAGCGAGAACTCTCGTGTAGGTGCACTTAAGCACTCTCACCTTTGAATCTCTAATGAAACTTGTTACAAGTTCCCGGTAGTTGCAACGTGTAAAATATCCGACTTTACTTCCATGATCGTCGAAATTCACGCGGACTTTACATCTATAGCTTGTGTAAAATTCAGCTGGTTTTACGAAGTTTCTGCATAAAACCTGCTGAATTTCGTATCGAGGCCAGAACCTTTTTTCCTCCTGGATGCCTTTCGTTCCTTTACATTTTCCTTCTACCTAGCGGGGGTGTAAATGAGTACTCGAGGCGTCAATTGTTATTTACTGGTTCAATGCAGAAAATAGAGAAAGAAATTCGGTGTGTTTGTTCAAATTTATTTTTTCTTGTTCGATGCAGAAAATAGAAATTGTCTTTGTTAGATTCTGAAGGATTCAATTTGAACACTTTTTAAATTTACGAAGGAAAGACGATTCAACCCTTTCCTGGAACACCTGGAACTTACGATGGTCGTGCAATTACGTGCAGGTATATAAACAGCAACCTAGTAGATAATTCGATAACATTGAGTCTCCTCCATTCCCCTCGGCTCCTTCGCCTTTCTTCTTCCCTTTGGGAACCATAAACTGCGACCATGGAGCTGCGATACTGTTACTCGAACGACTTTTATTCGCTCATATTGTCGCACCAGCAGCTTGTGTCTCTACGACAGATGTTTCTTTCTTTTCCTGTAATTAACACGTTAACTGTCCTGTATTTTCCTAGCCCCCACAATTACTGTTACCAATGTGTAAGAGCAGAGGGTGTAAGAATTTATCAGGAAATAATTTTTTTACATATCCATGTAATGCAATCTTCTAATTTAAAAATTAGATAATTATCTAATTTGCAATTTTATTCCTACAATTAATTAAAAAATTTACATCACACTTCGGTCATTCGAAAAACTTCTCTAAAATAAAATTCTCTCTCTTCATGGCTATCAGCCAGCTAGCAAGATCAATCAACAGAGCTCACTCGATGTACATAGGTCGGTACAGCCGGTGTAAGCTGACCGGAAGTAGAGGCATAAAATCGAACGGTTCACCTAGAATCGAAAGGTAGCGATGGTTTTTCACAGTTCAACCAAAGACTCCAATCAAGTCGAAGAGTCCCACGGGACATTGCGGTTGGTAGTTCGAGCAGCTTCCATTACGTCCGACCATTTCAGCTTGAAGAATGTCCTGCGGCAGTGGCTCGTGTCGGGAGGTTGTCGGTCTGAAAACAAGGTGCATCGTACATACATCCGGACGATAATAAGGAGCTTTTTCTTGCCGTGTCACGGTGCGGTAACGAGCATCGCGTAACGTCGAGAGACTCGTTAAAGAACGGCCATTAAATCGCCGTCACGCGATTCTTCCTTTCCGGCCAATTTAACGCCGGCCAAATATTTCGGAAATCGAACGACTTACCAAACGAACGTTAGAACGTTCGAATAAAAATACTCGAATTATTTGACGAATTGGTATAAAAAGAGGATCGCGAAATCAGTTCGAACTAGGAGAGGCTAAAAGCTAGCGGAATAATGCTTCCATCCGTTCATTTTCAACATCGTAGCTACGGGGAAATTTTCTCGACGAGGAAGAGGTAGTTGACGGCGAGGACAACGACAATGTGGCGTCACCGGCCGCCTGCGGGCCCTCTTTTTTATTCATACGTCCCTGGCTCGAGAGTTTATCCATCTACTGGCACAGGGACGCGGGGGAAGATGAGCTGACACGCGGGCGAGAAGCGAGAAAGCTAAACCAAATTTGCTTTTCTACACGGTCTGTGTATCTACTCCAATTTGCGCCGCCTTGGACCGGTCGAAAAAAATATGCCCGTCTCCCTTCTTTTTTTTTTTTCGCCCCGCGAAAGGAGGTCGCGCCGACGAAATTTTCAGCTGAATCCTTTAGCGCCGCCGCTTGCGTTCCTGGAGAACAATGACCTCCTGTTCGACGCGTCCCGGTATACATCCGATTATATGGTGAAATGAAAATTTTCAAAGAGTCGAAATTCAATGAATCAGCTTATAAAATTAAAAGAGCTGTTTATCTGCGCGAATGAAAAAAAGGTCTGCTCGAATGGGGAAGTTAAATGAATTTCAGGGAATGGAGTTGGAGAGCAAGTTAGCGAGGTTATTATCGGATAAGGATTAGGATAATGTAAAAGTTAATGAAGAAACTTACGTGAAGATCACGTGCAGAATATCACCGATGAGGCCGTTATGTCTCAAGGAATGCTCCGAAGTTTCGCAAATGGCCCTCAGCAGACATTCGTGACCCTGATATCCGTAGCTGTGCGGCAAGTCAGGAAGCAAAGTGAAAAAAAAAAAGAAAAAAAAAGGAAAATAAAATAAGACCGTCCTCTTTCTGACCTACTATGACTTCTGGGTCACCCTACGTGCTCACCTACACCAAGCTTTTCCCGTTTTCTACAGTCTCTATACACAAATGACTGTTACGAAAGTGTAACGTCTCGTTCGGTACAATAGCACTAAATGCGACCATTAAGGTCAAAGGGTTCGCGAGTACCGGGGAATGGAAGATAAAAGCGCCATCAGGGATAATCAACATCAAACTCACTTGATAAATTTGTTCTCAACGAGTTGATAAAGCGTCTCTCTGTTCAGGCTACGCCTCTTTCGTCTTCCTGCTTCAGCATCGAACCATGGGTCACTTACGTTCACTGGAAGATTGTAAGTGGCTTCGAAGAAGTCTGCTATCGATACCGATTTGTAGGGATCCTCCAATGGTACCGCCAATGCGAAGAATAACTAGGAAATCAAAAATTTCACATTTTTGCCATTAAAGGTTCGAAGCTGGGTAACAGTTATAATAACTTGGCCCGAGGAAAAATTTCCATTCAAAAATTATAACAGATATATTTCTACAAATGACCAGTACTTACCGCAAAAGTACTTTCATCTGGAAACGCCATAATATCTCTGAGGGGTCGATGTAGGACTTCAGCGAATTCGGAATTCACAATTTTCGAGGCGACTTGTTGGACAGTCACTGCCAGGCTGACCATTAAAAGTCTGCAAAAGGTTCACCTTCTATCATATCGGAAAATTTCAATAGAAAAGGTATCGCACATACAGAGAACGTTAGATGTGTAACGAATAAAAATTGAAAAATTCTAATGAACAGAACGTACAGAACTTCTTCCCGATAACTTCTCATGTTGCCTCGAAGAGAAAATACGAATGAAGCTCTGACACCTCTGGTTCACCTTCGTTCGGCGAACCGGTTCTTCGAAGGTGTTAATTAATAAATACAGCAGGTGGGAGGAGAAACAGTTAGAAAATTATAGGTTTGAAGGAATATAGAATTGGAGTGGCACGTATTATGCGAATAATCTCGTATGAGAAGAAGGATGTTACGTGGCTGAAATATGAATGGTGTAAAGGTGTTTCGAGGTGACGTAATTGGTATAGTGGCTGGGGATCTAGTTTGCCACGAAAAATGCCAAGGTTCGAGGCCCAAAGGGGCGAAATCCATTTATCTCTCGGTTTTACACCCCTTCTGTCCATGATGGCATCTACGGTGCGTGTTCAACCCACCAGTGTCGCTTTTAAATTGACTCGAAACCTATTCAAATATGTTAATAACATAGTCGTGACTCAGTCGTGCAACTTGGAAATCGAGCAATTTAAATTTTATTAAAAGGAAGAATTTCATATATCAGGGTGATAGGAAAAAATTTATTACAAAAAATTTCTACGCGACACTGGATGTTAGATCTAATTTATTTTCAAAATAATATAAAATTTAGAAATTACATCGTCGCTGTTTTAGCTCGCCATCCAAGGGGGTCGCGTTAGAAAAACCTCATCTGCATGCAAAGTACAGAAAGGGTCTGATTTTTCACATGTAACCGCGTTTCCTTTGTTCCACGGTGGTATTAAAAACGTGCAAGAAAAGAAAAGCGATTTTCCTCTGTCGTTAACGTCCCCCCGCCCCGTAATCCGGCAAACAAACTTAATGCGCTCTATCGAATCGCAACGAGGACGGAAGTTAATTGCCACTTTTTCTCAAATCACACGACCATCGTCGAACGACTATTTCTCTGTTCCTTAACTCGTTGCATCGCGTGTTTCATTACTCTTTTCGAACTCGTGTGCATCGATGTAAAACGCGCTAGAAAAAATGAAAAAGAAGAAAAGGAATTTAAAAACGAAGAATAATTACCGAGCTAAGTGGGTTCATTTGCGTACGCACGGTTTAACCTACGGGCCAAAGCTAGGCCGTTTTCAAGCCTGTGGCTCGCTAGCTTTTTCACCCGTTTCAAGGAAGTTTTTTAATCACCGCCACCCGGAGCCTCGGTGGATATCTGACGTGGAGGATCGTAATTGCATTTCAAAACGGCGGCCGGTTACGCGTCGAGAAGTTTTCCCGACTGACTCTTCGAAACCTTCACGCTAACCGGATCGTTTGAAAGCGTTTCCCTCGATTAATCGACCAGAATGAAATTCCATCTGCTACGATTCCGGGTGAAAAGTGTCAAACTTTCATAGCAAACCCCCCTTTGGAAGACGTTCCTCCAGGAATTCCTATGAATTCTCTGATTGCGAGAAGATCCCATATTTGTCAACGTAAAATCCTTCGAATCTTCGCATTTTTCAGATTTCTTTATTTCCTTGCTGTCTTTTTTTCGCTGTTTCTTTCCAAGAACGTTTATTACGTGCATCGACCGTTCGTGTATGACGTATAGCGACACTTTCTCGTTTTCACAAACAGGTCGGAGAGCATTTCTCCTCGCTAGGACGAAGTGCCTATTCACCGCAGATGCGTCTGTTACTTCTTCTTTACGGGGATAGAATATGCCGCGTTTCTTCTCTCCTTCGAGCAAGTTTCACCATTTCAGTAGCGTGTAGTTCGTTGAAACCATTGCTGGTATCGTAAAGACTTCCTCTATAGACTACCCAGGAAGTTAATAAATTATATCGGCCAGATAAATCCACGAGAAGATTATAAAATTGTACCAGTGATTTTTACAAATTGATTTTATTCAGAATCAATATTTTAATTTTCAAATTTGGTATGATATCTTAAAATGTTAGACGTTAGACGTAGATGTATCTTTTCCCTTTTTTGATTTCGAAATCGTTCCATGAATCCCTTTGCTAGCGCACGAATAATGTTCCAGAAATAAAAATTATTCATTTCTCGATTTATACACCCGATTGTAAATTGTAATTTCAGAGCTAGATTTGCATCGATGCGTCGACGAGTTGAAAGAATTCGCGTGGAAAAAAATCACTCCTCGTTTTTTCGTGCTTTGTCGGAGACCTCCCCCGTATGGAAGATGTTCTTAATTTCACTCTAATATTTATCGAGCTGTGAGTTGTTAACTGTAACGATGACGATATTACGCTCTTTGATTTTCTCTTATTTTTTATTAATATCGTTCATTCGACGTAGAAATAAAATTCAGTTGAAATTTCACTGGGAAAAACATACCCCTCCACTTTTTATAAATTATTAACTTGAACTTTGATTATCTTTTCGACATCGTGTAAATGGGGAAGTAAATTATCGGAGTTTTTTTTCAAGAATTTTAAATCAGCTTGTTACATTCTTTGCGGTATTTGGCACATTTTAAGGATGCTCGATATCCGAGCCGGCGAGAAACCTCGATCTACATAATCCACGTAAAAAAAACTCCCATGAATTAATATCTGCTCCTTCTTCTTCCTTGAGAATAATTGAGCTCGATGCTCCTTACGTGTCGATGAATATCAACGAGGATTTATTAGCTCTTCAAGTATTCACGAAGCTTTTTTTTCCAAAGAAGCTTATCCGTTTCGAACATAGAAACATTGATAATCATTTGTAATAAGGAACGTATCAAAATCAACCTTATCCTGATTAGGAATTTAATTTTTCATTAAATAATACTTGCATCAAAAATGAGAAAACGAAAGTTATATTTATTTTCTAACTCAAATAAAAAACAGAGAGAGAGAAAGAGAGAAGGGAAGAAGTTGGGGATAAAATAAAATTGTGACCATCAGAAATTTTTCCGAATTTTCATGTTCGCGTTTCGCGTGCGGCCAAGTTGTTAGATTTTCGTCGAGTTTCAATGGTACGTTGGAAGTTCCCAGCGGTCTGTAATTTCCTCTGAGCGTCGACCATTCTAATTTTAATGATAGAGATGTAACGTTCCCTCGGTCCATCCTCAGAGACCGCGGGAAAATCTGTTCAAAGGCGCCGCCTCGAAATTACGATCCGTACACGCCTCTAAACAGAAATAACGCGCGATGCACAATGAACTGCTTGCCTCTGCTCTTTTCAACACCGACCCCCGTGACCGAACGTTAATGAATTGCTCGTAAACTTTCACCCTTCTGTCCGTCGAATGGGAAATTAAATGCATCGCGTTAAATACAGAATTCGATCGCGATTTTCTTGAAAAAAAAAGGGGGACGAGCGTCCGGAGGAATTTATCGTTGCAATTCAACCAGTTTAAGGCCCGGTTCACGGATCAGTGGAACACACAATTTTCGCCTTTACCACGCGTTACAGCGTTTCAAGGGAAGAATAACTATTTCCGTGGTGAAAGTGAGGCACTATTTTTCGAGCTTCCTGTCCAGATGGAGATAAATTGTCGTTGAAATAGACCGGCCTCGTGGCTGCGCCCCTGAATGCGCTCATCGGCCCGAGGAAAGATGAATGAACTGCAGTTACCGACAGACGAAATGTGTGCCTGCGAAAAGGATCCAAGGATGTTTGTATTCCGTGCGAGAAATTGAAATTCTTTCGAATCGCTAAGAAAAACTAGCTACGATCCATTCCGAGCACTTCGCAATTTAAGGACGTAATTGTATTAATAATTCAAAAGAATTTTATTTCGATAAATTGGAGAATCCTTTTCGCTGGAAATTCCATTCGATTTTCGAAGAATTTTTTTCAAGGTAATTTTCCTTTTTACCCTCACCGTTTCACGGAGGGTCACAATAACAAGCACGGTTCGATCCGTACGACGTTTCTTATCCGCAAATCCGATTCTTTCTTCGTACGTACGCTTTTTCTAGCCTCAGCCTTGAGAGGCTGCCAACCAATATCTGAGTAAGCTGCTCAGAATCAAGCACCCCTTTTTCCTTCCTTTCCGGACCTATTCAGAGAGGGGGAGAAAAAAAGGCGAGCCTCGAAGACAGCCAACGCTTTGATCGCCTCCAGTTCTTCGATAATCACCTTTCATAACCTGCGCGGTTTTTTTTCTCTCTCTCTCTCCCTCTCGTTATCCCTCTTCGTTTATCCGTGATAATTCTCGCGGATATCGGTCCCAGTTCGAATCAATCCCTCGGGGTACTCGGCTGACTCAAGAAGGATATATTCCTCTCCGGCGTCTACGTGGCTCGTTGTTAAGGGGATTTATGACCGTGGCCGGATGCTTTGGCATAAACGAGACCCGGCGTAATACGAAAATAATGCAAATGCTGCGAGCGAATACGACGATACAATTTCAGAGAAGCCAAGGGAACAACGACATTCATGTGCTAAGAGGACCCACGGAATCGTACACGAGTTGCGATCTACGGTCTACGGATAGTTCGGGGGTGGGTTTTGTGTCTGCTCGTGGAGAATCTGGTACTTGGAGTTAGGATCTTACATGGAAGTTAAATGGACCTTGGTCAGAAGCTTAATGGAAATTTTGGTATCAAATTCTTCTCAATTAAAATTGAGAAAATTTAAGTAATATTTATTTATTTTCAGGATCGTTGACCGGGGGTGAATAACGCTGTAAAAATTGGATCACAAGAATGATAAACCGTGAGTAGAAACCTCATTAATTCGAGCGATTTGCAATTTGAGTATAATTTCGATGCAACCGGTCTAACTGACGCTTACACGCCTTGGTTGTTAACAGGAGCCGCGATCGAAGCTGCTTCATTATTCGCTTAACTCGCGATAACGAACTAATTGCCCCTATTAACGAGTCCTCGCACCTCGCTGCTTGATCTCTCAGCCACGAAACAGTGCGAGAAACATTCGCCTGTCATTGTTCGGACGTTCATCATGCGGAGCATTTTTCTCCTTTCACTTCTGTTCGTGGGACACGTTCAACGATGTCCTTTGGAGTGTTTCGGGTACCTGGTCTTTCCGAAACCTGGAAATATATCATCGACTAAACTACAGGTAGAGGAAAAATCGATAATCAGTGACAAAAGTTTGATAATTATCAGGAGAGGGACGGTTTTCAGTGTGACAAAGTGTTACTTGATTAACATAAGAAGATATTTCATTGAATTTCTCATTGGATTTTATATAAAAATTTTCCTTTTCTGGCTAGTGTTGAAATGTCAGCAGATAAATGATCGGTTCGTTCTATCTGCTCGTTCTAATTAGGTATCGATCACTAATTGTTTAACCTGCTGCACGTGTTAAACAAAGGTGATAGGAAGCGTGAGTGGTAACTGTCTAGGGACAGAAACATGACGTTACAAAAGACACGACGTGATAATGATATCGTTGTGATAACTTGATACCCGTGTCACTATTGCAATTAGAATCCAATACTACTCGTGGTTTTAAATATTCCTATGAAAATTCTAACACCGTAAACTACAAACTTTTTATATCAGATACAAATTTTAGAAAAAGAAATTAACAAATTTTTCTAATAGAAAAGTGAAATAATAAATTTTCCTTTTTTTTATTTTAATTAATTTGAAATAATATTTTATCAGGATCAATAGTAGAATTTTCGATATCTCGGATAGATGAGCCGAAATTGTCAGAATACACGCAGCTTCGAATTTTCCTCGTATCCTCTATTTCTGGGGTCTAATTCGGTCCGATCGAATGTCAGTCGCTAGCCAGCCTGCCATTCGATTGGCGGTTATTATAAACGATCGATGACACCTTCGTGTATTTGAAAACCGTTCCAGGTAATCCTCGGCCTCGGTTTACCTATGGAAGTCGACGTCAGCCTGATTATGGGATATGTGGTGAAATTTAATTACGCCCTGCCCTCTAACGCTTCCTACTTGACGGATTCATATGTACGCTATGACAGATCGATCAGATCCGGTGTCCAGGTCGACGAGAATGACGAACTCTCGCCGGATCATCAAGGTACGTGATTTCTCTCTTTTCCTGTCTATCCACTCGCCAAATTATTCGTTATCCGTTAAACATACGTTTCCTGTCGTTTTACCCTTTCATTCCCATCTTTTGCAATTTCGATCCTGATTCTCTAATTACTGCAACTCGAAATATAATTTTTGCAATTTAAACCCCAATATTTTAATTTTTGCAATTCAGACTCTAATTTTTTAATTTTTACAATTGGGATCCTAATTTTTTAATTTTTGCAATTTGGATTTATTGGCATTTTACCAGAGGGTTAATTATATCGCGTTCAGATCGATAAGAAAGGGATTAATGAAATTGAATGGGAATAAAGAGCATCGTTCTCGTGGACGACGTTACATGACACGCAACAAAGGTAGCCTCATTAATATGTAAAGAAAGAGGATCTTCTTCTTATCTAGCTACTGAGCTTCCTTCGTTTGACTTTCAAGGCGAAGGGGTGCTCGTCCGGATTTAGAGGAATTGGACTGTTACGTTGGATCCGCCACTAGACTGATCCTCCTTTATCGCAATACATAAAATTCCCGGAAGTCTACTTAAAAAGGGGATACTTTAGAGATTTCAATAACCATAACGTTTCATTCAAAGAACACCGGCGAACGTTTCTAAACGATTGCTCTCAATTTTTCTTTATTAAACCAAACCTCTTAAGAATTCACCCTCTAACGTACAATATTATACAATTAAAATTGTGTCACTCTGAAATTAAGACACAATTTCCTTCTGATGGCTGTTCAAAGGGTTGATCGACCCTTTCTCTCCCTTCCAAGCCAGCCTGACGGAGAGTTTCTGTCTGCAGAGAAGGAAGTGATCATTAACAGATGGGAAATTTACGAAATTCTCGAGTCGGTTCTCGGTGATTCTCGATCCGGCAAGGCCTGCCTTTTGAGAGCGATTTGCGAGGCCTCCGCCGTGCCTTTTAACCGTGTTCACGGTCTCACCTCTCAGCTCATTCATCTTCTCCTCACGTGAGTATCGATTCGAAAGTTGGAACCGTACGAAAAAGAGGAATAGTGCCTTTTCACTACAGAATTTTACGATTCGACCTTAACAAAACATTTGTTTAATCCCCGGAGTAGTTTGATTTCTCATCCAACCTTCGATGTGAATTTATATTTCGTACCATTGAAACGTCACTTCTTGTCTGATTTAACTTTGTTCGCGTTTCAGACCGTCCAGCACGTCCGAGCCTTTCAGGAATGACTTTGATCGAGTGTATCACGCGGCTGAAATTATGGGCCGACAGGCAGTTAGCTCTTGCGACAATTTATTTCCGGAATGCTCTCAGAGCCCGTTGGACTACTTCACCGAGCTCCATGAATAATCATCTGATTAACAGTTGCTCCGACGAAAGACTGGATTATTCTTTTGCTGTTGTTATCCCAGCCATGGATTAGTTTAATTAATTGATCCTTCCTACCAGTTGACTCGACAAGGTCCTGTAAAAGTATCCATATATATATATTTCTTTTTTAATTATACAAATCTTGTAAACATCCCTTCCTGCAAACCACTAACGTTGAATTTCCTCCGGCAATTAATACAGATAAGACACTTTCACAGCGCCCTTAATCAACCTCGAACCCGAAGAACCTCGAAGCTCACGTTAAAGCAGTTAATCAAGCCTGAAGTCCGAAGGAGAGATCCGAGCGCGTTAGGAAGCAAAACGAAGAATCGATCGGGTTAGCTGCGGTCGAAACGGGGGGGCCTAGGGGGTGGGTTGTATCGAAAAGGCAAAGAAGTAATTTATGTGTCCCGATGTCGTGGGATATTAGAAATATCAAGGGAAGAGGGGTGGCGGCTACGTTGGAGGGTGGAAGTAAAAAGGGGAAGCAGAGTGCGGGGAGGGGGATGAAACCAGGGGTCTGGTGGCGAAACGTGACGCAGTTATCCGGCGTTATTGGCAGTTCTCTCTCGTTCAATAACAGGTACACGTAAAGAGAAAATACTCCGGTTGAAATTTATAGAGGGCGTAGGGTGAGCTGAGCGGAGAGAGAAAGGAAAAAAAATGACCCGTGACTCTGGTGACCGGGAACAATGAACGGAAACAGGAAGAGAAAGACAGAGGATGGTTTTCTAGGGCGAAACGATTCGTGGTAATTAACACAACCGGACCGACGATATACGATTTTACTTCCGCGTCGTTACAACGTCAGCGAGGTCGAAACCTTTGAGCCACCGTGTTCCACCCTCTCCTTTCTCCCCTTTTGCCGATTCGTTTACCTCTACCAGTCCCACCGGTTAATTGTTGATAATTCGCGATGCGTGCGATCGGCGAATCCGGCCGCGTTCAACAGATTAACGAACGCATTGTTCCCTCGGATGCGTGTTGCCGGATTTTCTTTTGAATTTTCCCTGATCATTCGCTCGATTGTGCTCCCATTTTGCTATTGATGGCTCGTTTCAAACGGACGAAACGAAGGGGTTGATTAGGAGCCTTGTTTTGATAAATGAAAAGAATTAGCCAAGGCTAATTACTAATTACTAAATTAATTTGATTTTTCTAAGATTTAAATTTTAATTCAATATCCTAGCGATCGAACCATTGATTTTCAATCCCTTTTACCTCATCTTCGAACCGCGGACATGGTTAAGATTTCGATTTCCGGTCTCGGACGTCTCGGATGGACGGATAAGAAACGACAAACGGACATCGTTTAACCCGAATAGATAAAAGAAAGGTTATGCGTGCGGTCGCGTTCGCGGTTACGTTTCACCGTAGAAAGATTCGTGTACATAACGAGGACGAGGTTTACGAGGCCGTTCAGGGGGTTGTAATTCAATTTAATGCCGGGATCGCAGACTCACCGTCCGACCGGTTCACGGAAGATTCCGGCTGCGAATTACGGGTCACGAAGCAGGATACGGTGAGAGATTCTTTCTGAAAGCGGCATCACTCCACCCGCTTGTTCAGCCCGCCCTCCTCTTTACCAAAGAAATCCCGGCAGGGGTTCCCTTGGAACTCTCGCGAGGATTTTTATTGCGTAGTAACGTCGCTCGTTGATTTAAGCGTTCTCGGCTTTCAGTTCCGTTCAAACGGCGCGAGATCAGCGAAGAAGATTCTAGCTGGAGAAATTTGTGTTCACGTCTCTTCGCCTTTATCTAAATACAGAAAAGTCTGCCACGAATTCGAGCGATTGAGAATTGAAAATTTCATAACGTTCCCTGGAACTGTATCGAACAGTCCAAAGTACTCTATTTATTTAGAAATCAAAGTGCTCGAGAAACGAGGCGGTTCCAAATTCGACGTCCAAACAAAGGCTAATCAAAGGAGACCACCTCTCGGCACGACGCGAATCAAGTGTCCTGTTAGCCTCCGGTCTGCGTTCGAGTTAGCACGCTCGTAGGTGCGAATTAGTCTTTCGAATCAATCGTTTAAACATCGACGCGGCGAGTTTCGTGAAAACACAACGGGACAGATTATTCGCACACGGTCAACAGTAGGATGGAATCGTGGTTACGCAAGCCTCCGTCGGTTCGTCGTACCAACCCCACACGTGGCAATCGTTTGCTTCGGGCAACTTCCGTTTCCTTGTCGGCTCATCGGGAATCGCAGTTGGCGTTTCTGCGGCTTGCCCGTCGCTTCAGGCTTGAAAACTCGCTCCGATGACTGGGATGATCGTCTTGCTGGTGGTGTTGCTCGTTTGCCCGTCGCGACATCCGGCGCAGAGCCTCGAGGACCGCGGCAGCGACGATTCCGGAGGGAACAATGGGACCGAGCTGGTGAAAAGTCACTCTAGACGAGCCAGAACACTCGTTTTCCCTGATCCCGTCCAGCTTCTGGTACGTAAAACCGCAGATTCTGCTCGATCGAGCTAATGACCCGTTTCTATGGCCAATGTATAGTCGTTCAAGTAACAGCTATCAGTTTCCGTTTCTTCTGCCTCGAGGGGAATTTAAAATCGGTACTAGAGAACTGGTGTGATCTTGTCTTTTCTTTACACATTGAGTGCCAAGCTGATTTTCGTATAAATACCCCTAGGTGCCAACAGAAAATATTTTTATATTCTTTTATATTTTTTATATTTCGTTATAAAGCACCTAATATGATAATAATTAACTATTAAAAAAAGTATTATATAAAATTTTAGTTATTCAAAAAGAGACAAATTATCATTTAAAAAAAAAAAAAAAAAAAAAAAATGGGAACCAAGGATTTGAACCGAGGACCTTTAGATTGCGAGTCATGTGTTTAACCACGGAACGGATCCATGACTCGCAATCTCAAGGTCCTCGGTTCAAATCCTTAGTTTCCAAAAAATTTTTTTTTTTTTTTTTATGATAATTTTTATGTAATAGTTATTCAAAAAGAGACAAATTATCATTAAAAAGAAAAAGAATGTTACATGGTGGTATGCGATTAATAACCGAGCAAGGCTGCGCTAAAAATGTATAACGTATTTCGATTCCCATCTTCCGGTCTGATATCGCGGTACACATTCCACCTGACCTTTCAGGGCTCATCCAATTTCTGTGCCAGGTGGATACCTACATATCCTCTGTCTCTGTGTACGTAGCTTGGCTGCGTGGAAACCATCGTATATACATATTCATGCACACGTAGGCGAACGGCATCGCGGGATGGGCGAGTGTATGAATTTTCGATAAAACCGCGAATTTCCACGGAGAATCGTTTCGAGCCGCACGCGTCTGGGGAGGACAGTTTAACGAGATCCGCGGAGGGTTCGGGTTAAAGCGTTTTTGCATCGAAACCCGGCTGGTTGCCAATCGAGATCGATACACTTCAAAGAGCAACGATACGCTGCTCTGATCCTGGCTACTCGCGCTAATTGCACCCCACCCCCGGGGGGTGAAAGTGTGTGCCTGATTTACAGATCGTTTCCTGCTGTTTCGAAATTCCTCAGATGTTGATTTTAAAAATTTTGGACGATGTTTTTACTTGCAACAAATTTCATTTATTATTTGAGCAATATTTTTCTGTTCCAAGTAGTTATAAAAATTCAAGCGTCATTCGCGCACGAGTGTTAACGCTGTCGGGAAATTCTTGAGCTCGAGGAATTCTTTCGACGTTTTTCGATGCGTTTCGCGCTAGAGTTTACAGTTTTACGAGCGAAGCTAAAGTTTCTCTTTCGATTATGTCCACGGTAACATCGTGGAGATACATGGAACAGCGGTTACTCGATTCGTTTCCAGCTAGGGAACACACTCCGATGGACGAGATACACCAGTGGATTTTAACTCGATCTCGTCTGAGTTCATCCAATTTCCTCCTCGGGCTCGTTTCATCCCCTTCCCTCCATGAATAACCGCCATAACAACGACTTTTCTGATCGAATCGCGTCCTGGCCTGGTCACTTCGTAACGACCGATTCCGTGGAAGGCTTCGTGCAGCAAGAAAACCAATTTTCTTTTCTTTCGCAGCTGATCTTCGGCCTGGGGACACCGTTGCAGTTGAATTACGAGAACGTGATCGTCGGTATATTCGCTAAATACGTGTACAATTTGCCGACCAATGCGACGGATTTCACCATGCCCGGTGTCTATTACTCCCGAAGCCAGAAGAGCAGATGGAACGTCTACAAGATGCTGGAGAAAGCAGCGGGGATGTATGGATTCGGTGGGAAAGCGTGTCTGTTGAAGGCCATCTGCGAGGCAGCGTCGGTTCCCTTTGACAGCACCCACAGTTTACTGGGACAATTGTTGCAGGTATTCTTCAAGTAAGTAATCTTTCCGTTGAACACGATCGCGACGAGGTTCAATGGAAAGCTGCAAGTTTTATCGGGTAGCTCCCTCTGCAACGCTAACGCGAAACTTTCGACCTGGCTCACGTGTAACCACACCTAAACCCCACCCGATCCACGCCCCAAATCCTAGAGAATATAAAGTACCGTGCTACGTGACACTCTAAAAAGTCTTTAAAATAGAGGAAACCGCAATATCGGCTATAATTTTTATTTTATCTTCATATTTATCGATATTACCTTGGCTACATCTTTGGCCTCTGAACTTTCCATAAAACTACATCGTATATAAAATAAAATAAAGTTAGGAACGGGGTGTTTCATTTTATAATAATTAACAGCTTCGAAATTGTTGGAACTTTCCACTGGAGTTTTCTTCAAAGTACTACGAATTTCAAGGGACAGTCTTCTTTCTTTCTCACCCCCCCCCCCCCCCTAGCATAGGGGTAAAATTTCGTCAATTTATCGTCGTTTTTTTCACCCTCAACTTCAGAAACCCTAGCCATCGCGCTAAGCATCAAGCACATAAATTCCGTCGGTATCCGTGGAGTTTGAAAATTATTCTCCGAACAGAAAGGGGGTTGCGAGGGTGAAACTTTTCAGCAACAGCGTTAAAAGCCAAGTTACGATCACGTAACTGTACAACCGGTCGATTAGTCGGGTGGGCGTTAATGTCGAAGGATTAACCAGTGTCCGCATAATTCGAGACTAATTAACGAGGCTGCCGACTAGCAGGATAACTCGAGAATTATCGATCCCTCCTCTTCTCGCCTCCGCTTTTTTCCTTCTCCAGAGAAAAAAAGAACATCCCCTCGCTCCCGATATCTCGTCGCGAGGATCGCAATCTTTCAGCGAGAATTCGAACGCGAATTCGTTGGAATTCCAGGCCTTCCAGCACCGACGAGCAATACGAGGAGTACGAAGACCAGGAATATCGGGCGGCCGAACGTTTGGGCGAGCAAATGTCGGCGGAAAACTGCCACGCCCTTTATCCGGAATGCCGACGAAGTATCCTCGATGTGTTCTCCATGGTCACCGTATGAATACCAAAACACCAGCACGACGACGACGACGACGACGATGGGATACTGGCTGAGATTTCAGTCTCTGGTTAGATTAGAGTGGGATGAGGTTTGTTCGATTGATTGAAACTTTGGTTACATTCTGTGGAGCGTGTAAACGGATGAAACAGAGAGATGTACATTGATAGATATTTATCGAGCTTCTGGTGGAGTTTCTGGTTGAAATACTTCGCCGCGAGTGATTATTGCTTATCAGACTTTTCAAGGGTGGAAAAGAAATTTTCGTTAATTTCAATTACGATCAAGTAGGTTTAATTGTCTTGGGTTCTTGGATAACTCGTGTACAGGCAAGTATATTTATCTGTTTAGAAATAATTTTACTATATTTATGTGTTAAGATGTTGTATAAATAAATAAAATTAAGCGATTGCATCGTTATTGTATCGAGTTTCAGATCTATAAATTTTCAATGCGGATATCAATCAAAGTCAGAAGAGAATAGGTACGATCAAGTATTCGAAACATAACAATGGAAGAACGTATCTGAAGGATTTCTAGCAGTCAGTGTATTGTAGAGGAACGATTCTTCCGACAAGTTGAATCCCCTGGCGGGCCAGTTTGAACGCTTGATTATCCTCAAACGATGCCGAAAATTCATCCCTTCGAACCGAGCGTCGTTTCTCAAGGTGTCAGACGGCCGTGAAAGCATTTCTTAAACGGCAGCTTCTACGGCGAAGCATTCCGTTGCACGGTGGCGGAGTTTCATTTTCCTAAAAGTACCCGCAGCAATCGTCGAGTTTCGCCCCGGCAGTTGGGTTGGAATCTGAAATTAAAGAATCTTCAACGTTCGCCGGTAGTTGCTTCGTTTCAAACGAACCCCCGGCTATCATGCCAGTAGCCTCGATTACAATTCGCGGAGCTGCTGAAAGATCAAGTTGTCTCGTTTTAAATAAGAAATTTCGTTATTCAAGTGAACCTTTAGCAGAGAATTTTACTCCACGTTATCATGAGAATTCTTATTTAACTTTCTCACTGATTGACTAACCGGTTAGAAATTCAATTAACCGAGAAGAAAAGTGAATCCTTTGATAATTCGAAGCAAACCGGATCGTTTGATCCTAAAATCAGTTGGGGGTGGCTCGAATAATACCCCTAAAAATTAGCCTACGCAAGTTGACCGGAAATTCGTTATTCACCGCTTACCATTCGTAGAATTCGCAAATGCTCGACGAGTCAAAGAATTCGTTCGTCCACGGAAGTGCAAATGGTGAAAGATCGAAAAGCAAAAGCGATCGAAACCGTCTACTTGTATGTAAATTTCAAAGAAAAGCTCCTTCAACACCTAGAATCGAAACCCTTTACCTGGCTGCCTAGAAGGGAAGTTAGACCTAAATGAAAAATCTAAACGTGCTTGAAATTTCGTTCGTTGATCCTTATTGATTCCCATCGATTCTCGACGGCTAAAAGGCACGCCCGAGGAAATTCCATCGTGGCTGGACGGCGAACAGGTTGCAAAACGATAATAGCCGGTGTAACAGCACTTTAAAAAGCGTGGTCCATTATCGCGTGGGGTGAGCCAAGTACGTGTAACGCTTAAAAGCTCGAAGGGAAATGTGTCGGAGAGAGAAAGAGAGTGAAATCATTTACATAGCATGCATATAATACCGGAAGGAAAGAGGAAAACAAAAGAAAAGGGATTACATCCTGAGCGGAGACAAAACGTTTACCTTCGTTAACGAGAATTACACGGCATCAAATTCTTAATAATTATCGCTGAAAATAAAATTAATGAAATTATTTTCCGCGTCGTTTACAATAAGGGGTTAAAAATTGTCAAATAACAATTTTCAATTAAAATTAATTCCCCAATTTAATAGCTCCACTGCGAGTCTTTATTACAGCTCTTTCTAACAGTGAAAGGGTTAATGAAGATTCGATGTACCTCGTACGTTTGATAAAGAGGAACCGATATAACGGTGTCGAGGATGATAAAGGGCACGGTAAAACTGAAAATAAGTCTAAACCACGATGGTTGTAGCCTCTGTTCATTGCTATTCCGGTCTGCTACGAAGCCACGATAGCGCGAACGATTCCGCGAGACGTGTTCCTTCTACTGTATTTTCATTCGAGCTCTTCAGAAGCAACGGCAGAAAGTAACGACGCAGGAATGAAGGGTGAAAAAAGGGTGGTTTGAAAGAGGAGAAAATGGCCAACCCTTCGCGAAGGACGCTTTGGATTCTCCGCCAGACTACGAGATATCTCTCTGCTTCGTGAAAAGATACGTTCACCCCTTTTTCATCTCTTTCTCTTTTGGTTCCTTCTTTTCTTTCTTTTTTTTTTTTTTATTTCAGTCAAATCTAGTTCGTGGATCACACGAAATGAGAATGAACGGGCTTCCCAAAGAAGATACGTTTGGCCGCGTTTCTCGCGTCATTTTTTCGACCCGACTATTATAAATTTTCGTTTCGTTCGACTCAGGGAAAATCTGCTTTCGCCGGCGTTCTTTCGCATCCTTTGTGAACCGGATCTTTATGGACGGTAAAACGGTAATATTTTTTCAGACCCTACGGGCTATCGTCCTCCGTCCTGTTTATAAAAACGCGGGAAACATTGTTGTCGATGATCTCTTAAATAAGAATAAGATGCGGGAAAGGATTCGCGTAAGCAAAGTGAAGTATCGTTGTAATTTTATTTCAAATTTATTAATTACGACGTTTAACCTTTGATATTGATACCCGTGAATAAAATAAACTTGAACATCATACGACAAATGATGTTTCACGGTAAGGACCCTTTCACACCATAAATTAGGATATATAGCTTCACCATAAACAAGCACCCTCATAAATTAGTTCTGAAACGCTTGAAACTTCACCCTCGTTTATTCGTGCCATTTTTCAGCCATCATTTTTTTAAATAATATTTGAAAATGAAATTTTAGGATAGTTTATTTTGGTAGAATTTTCATAGGTAAGGAGATGAAAGGAAGAATCAAAGAATTTCGTGAACATCGTTCTTCGTCCAAAATATTCAACGACCGCGATGGAAATGCAATGGAAGAGGGAGACGAAGGGTGACGGTATCGAGAAAGCGATGTCCTTCGATCGAACAAGGGTCTATCGGAACGACCCTCTAGGCAGCAAGCCATCGTAATTTACGAGCAGACCCTGAAGGAACGTCTTCTGCCGGGTGCAGCGTAATCGGATCACGTCGTGGCGCGTCTCTAAAATTCAGGACCTTCAAAATGTCTCTTTCTTGTCCTCCTCCAATTACCGTCCGGGGAGATTTTCAGTTTCTTCCATCGAAACCTCTTTGCATCTCGCGCGCTTCCGAAAATCTTTCTCTTCCGAAGGTACCACTTTGAACCACTGCGAACGTTTTAACTTTGATTCTACTGAAACAATGAAAAATTATTCCTACGAACACTTGGAGGAAATTTTTCAGCGAATGAAAAACTATCACCATCTATTCGCGGGGAAGAAAATAAAAAACGTACGAAAGTGGCCATTTTCGTAATTCTAAAGTGGAGGGAAGAAGGATAAACGGCATACGGTTGCCATTTTTCCTCTGACATCGACGTATTACTTCCGGCGTAAGTATCGCTTTTATCGTGCCCGTCATTATGATCCTTTACGAGTCAGGTGAACGTAAAAAACGCAAACTCGTCGCGTTGTCCCGATGGAGAAAAAAAAAAGCTGGCAGAATGCGTGCTTTTCAGGAAACGCGTCGACTGCGAGAGGCCACCGCGTATCGATCCTTTCCGGAAATGGACCTCGCCTAAAAATCCCGCGGCCCTTTTGAAATTCTTCCCTCTGCCTATTGTTCGTTTCCGTCTCTCGGCCTCCTTTTTCTTCACCACCTCGTCCCCGCTCGTTTTTCACCTCTTTCCTTCGCTACGTTGAAACGTTCACACTCGATCCACGACTGTCGGAATTCGGAGGACGAATTAAATCTGACTCGCAGCTCGCTGAATTTTAATCTCGTCGAGGAACGAAAGCACGATCCGAGATCGTTGCTACGAGTTAAACGAACCGTTGCTTGTTCATCTCGTTTCGGACGGTTGTTTTGTTCGACGCTTCCTTCGTTGTTTCGGTATCCAATTGTTTTGTTCGGCTTCTAATCTCTGCAAGTGGAATTGGACATTTTCACAGTGATTCGATTCACTTCGGATCTATTTAAAGGGAACGGGGATTGAAATTGACGTTCAGTATTGGAGAAAATTGAATATCGAAGAATATTAGGTTATTATGGAACATTGAAATTCTAGTGTGATTTGATGACACAAAAGTATTTCAAAATAACACTTGTGATATATTAAATCAAAGCTTAAAGGGTAATGATCAATATTCTTAACAGAAATAGAATAATTTAATAATGAATCCATTGATCTTCAATTGAATGTACCTTTAACTTCCAAACATTGCTATTTCAAAATGGATAAACATATTCATGAATAATTTATACAATTATTTTTATTAGACTTTAAGCTTTAATTTGATGTATCATAAGTGCTATTTTACAATACTTTTATGTCATCAAATTTTATTTAGAACAGTCCAACATTTTCGTTAGATCTATTCGTTAGGTTTTTTATTTTTTTATTAATTCGTTTAACATTTTTCAACATCGAATGTTCTAAGAGAGAAGTCCTTTCAGATCCGCGTATCCTCGAACGAGATTTTAATTCAACTTCGCTCGTTAATCGGGCGGCGCGTTGGAAACGGAATTAATTAAAGCTGCTTAACGGGCAAGGCCGGGCAATTATTGGATTTACAACGCTATCAGTGGCAAGAGTTAAGCTGATACGCCGATGAATCGAGCCTCGGTTTTCCAAGCAACCATTGAATGCCTTGATAAAACGCGTTCGTATCGGTGTTGACCCTTTGTTCGAAGGGTGGACATTTTTTTTCGACGAAACATAATTCAAATTCTCACGCGTTCACTGACAAACTAGATTATTTTCATTTTTATAAAAATTTCATTATTCCGTTTAATCGTTGCCTCATTATCTCGAGCATTGATTATCATTTATTCAGCAGAATTTAATTTCAATTTTTATTTATCAATAATTACACCCTACGTAGGCGTGATTCGGATAATACCGCCGAAATTGGCCGACGATTCGTCTCCAGGGACGGTTGTAAAATGTTTTCATCGGGCAATTTTGCATTGCAAACGCTCGTCGAACGCAAACATCGTTCTGTCTCCCGCCACAAACTCCGCTGCTCATTATCGTGTCGTCACAAACTGGTCGTGTTCGTTCACGAGGAAGGGACCACTCGCAGCTAGTTCGTTGACCAACGATTCAAAATCAGCCTCCAAATTATACCGGCGAAATCATTCGCTGAAATTTTTCCAAATCTTCATTGGCGACATGTTGATAATTGCGATTTTATCCTCCTCCCTCTGGGCCGGTGATTGTACTCTTCTGTACCCTGCGAAATCAGTATTCCAGGTAACTATATCGTCTGAAATCATTTTTGAAATCTTTTTTCTTATCCACGACACGGTATTCGCAGCTTTCTGAAAATTGAAAAAGATTGCTTTTAAATAAACCAATCTATATGAGCTATAAAATTACACCATTACCTTGAAATATTTTATTTTAATTATATTTAATTATACAGAATATTTTTGTTTAATTTTTGAATATGTTACGGTAAATTGTAAGGCGGTATGCATTAAGAATTTCTTGCGCGTTTTATTACGAGGTTACCCAGAAATCTTTTTCAATTCCATGACTGTAGAATTC